GTCATAAATTTTGATATAGTAGTTGTGACTTATTCACACTCTATACATTTGGCTTCCGCAACATCCTTCACCCACTAAGAGTATTTCATAAAATGAAGAATAATGTTGTATCCTTTTCTCTTCTTCTTCTTCTTCATCACTGATCACTCTTGGGTCGTCTGCCACTTGGTCTGCCATACTTGCGCAGTTCATTTTGTGGGCAAGGTGGTGACTCTGGTGTGTGCTTATGTACTCGGAAACCAAAGAAAGAAAACAGAATTTGAATTTTATGAGGAAGGATGGGCAATTGAATTACGATTTTGACATCATAGTACAACGTTTTAAGGGTAGGTTTGGCATGAAGAAATATGTTTCTTTAAAAAATAAGTACTACGGAGTATAGTTTTTTTAATACTTATTTTGTAACATTTGATAACAACAACAACAACAAAAACGACCCAGTATAATCCCACAAGTGGGGTATGAGGAGGGTAATATGTACTCAGACCTTACCCCTACCCCGAAGGGTAGAGAGGCTGTTTCCAGGAGACCCTCGGCTAAAAAAAAAGCAACAGGAGCCGATATATTAGTACCATAAAAATGCATAATACAATAACAGCAATATAAGAGATATGAAATACAGAATACGAAATAAATGGCTGGTATAGTAAAACTAGCAGGTAAAGCCCTGCATCAATAGACGATCAATGACATTCTTAGTCTAACTCCTAACTAGCTAGTCTCACTCTATTGTGTTGTAGAAATATTCACAACTTTCCCCTAACCTACAATCTTAATGCTCGACCTCCAAAATTCTCTGTCAAGGGCCATGTCCTCAGTAATCCTAAGTNAAAAAAAATATCATATCCAACATTTAGTATTGAATGAAATAAGTGCCAAAAATCAAACGAATCTTAAGCAAAGAAAGATCTCATTTTAAAAACACACAGTAGCACATAAATTTGCAATAAGTATACTATAAATGAAGAGCATACATATATCAGTTGATAACAATTGACTAAGCAGAAAGTAAAATCTCAAACTATTCATTCTTGATAGTTGACTCGTAAGCAGAACACTAAACATGCATTTCTTAAAGTATAATTCACAGAATGTATTTTATTACAGAATGTTTCTACCTTATACTCTACATGAATACGTGGGGAGTGGGCAGCTGAAATACTCAACAGAAATTGATATCAATAAAACTACCATATCTTGCAAAATCGAACTCATAAAATCTTGGTTAAAGCACATCGACCCTTGCCACTTAAGCCTAGACAAAAATCAAATTAGTAGAGCAATTCACTTAGTCGCCCATAACTCAACCGTATCAAACTACCTCTCTCTATAGAGAACATTGGTTTGTGATTAAATTCTTTCAGTAAGAAAGAGAGATATATGGAGAATAGTACTTGACCAACAAACAGATAACTTGCATATGCATACCTAGTATTCACTGTACAGACATAATTTATAGGTAATATCTCATACCCTGTAGCTCATACAGCCTTCGATCAAGATCTTGCAGCTTCTGTTGTAACCTGGAAATTCTTGACCAGCTCCAAAAATGAAGCTTTTCCAAAATTTCAAGGTAATCTTCCGAGCTGTACATCAAAGAACCACGATGCAGGGCTTGACGAACTTCAACTTCAACATCAATGTCCTTTCTTCCAAATGTTTCTTGAATATAACTAAAATACTCCTTGAAGATCCTAAAACATTCACTTCTGGGGTCATGCCTTTCAGGTAAACCAGCATGACATGGAAAACCATTCATGTCATTGACATAAGTTGGAGAATTTCTACTACTGTCAGTCCAACTTAGTTGCCGCTGAATGGAGTAAATCGGAGAGCTTCTGGAGCTCTTTCGTTTGTTTTGTTTCGTTCTTTGCATATTCTTATGAGATGGATCGAATATAAACTTGAAGGTACAACACTCACCCAATGGAAAAGACTCATCACATTTATTACCACCTCCTCTTTTATTGTTGTAACCAGGGTAATTTTTAATGTTGAAATTAGCAGACTCGATACAAGTCAAGGAGTGCACTGATGCAAGTCCAGCAAGATCCCAACAGCAGAATGGATGAGTCGTCTTATGGGTAACATGAACTTCACCATCTGGTCGCAACCTTTTCCTTGCACTCCCGAAAAATTTTACCACAAGATTCCTATGAAGGCTGCAAATAGAACAAAATTAAGGCACGCATTACATTAAGAAAAGGCAAAATCAGGTGAAAAGGCTAATTAAGCAACTAATATAGAGGACAAAAGAGCTAAAACTTTCAGCATACAAAATTTATTCCCCTCCCAGTATGATCAAATAAACTGATCACAAAAATCAAAAGGGCTTAGATTAAAGAAAACATTTACAATATTTGATTCCTTTGATTGCAGAAAACAAATTTGTCTTTTAAGGGTATAACTCCTCTACAAACTTTAACTACATATCACTTGAGCCACTCTTCACTATGGATATCTTAAACACCCTTCTGGTACTCCACACTTATTGTCTTCGAGTCGCATTTAGTAGTTACAATATTGGTAAAATGTGTATATTTATCCAAAATATGTGTTGTAGGTGGTGAGCAGACGCACCCCAATAGCCAAAGACAAAAGATTCATATGAGAGAATACAAGTAAACAAGCCTCTACTTGAACTAATTGAGTAAACCATCGACCGGAGTTCCACGGTCATACCATAAATCTACCTCTATCTATCCATCCTCCTCCTTGTACTAATTGAGTAAACCATTTAAAGTAGTTGCACGTACAACTTGGTTATTTCATTGGGTACCTGCTAGCTCCCATCAACACAGGTACGACGAAAATAGTTAACGTCTTTCTTTTATGAGTTTTGAACTATGGGCCCCTAGAGTTTTTATCCACTTTATTGATCACTAAACGCTACCGTTAGGTTCAAATTCCACCTTCTACTCATATACCTTCAACAATTCCAACGGAAAACATATAAACAGAGTTTAAACCACGTAATAAGAAATGTATACTACTATTTAATAACTAAAAAAAAGGATCCATACTGGATAAGACGATTAGAACTCTCACTGCCATGGAAACCTGCATGAGGGAAGTTAAAGATGACTCGATCGAATTTCCGATTTGCAAGATCAGGATGAAGCTGCATTTTTGTAGCATCCACACCGTGCAATACTGTTCCTCCCAAAGACTTTAACTTTTCTAAGTTCGATTTCCCATTCTTGTACATTTTGATCACCTCGTCTAAAAAGACAAAAAAGGGGTAAACAACAAAATTTCGGATTTTGCAAAAAAGAAAAACCTCATCAAATATTAAGTAAAATAAAAACAACCCAGGAAGTTCATAGAGTGAAAATTGATATAATACCATAAGATTGAAGAGAGGAAGCAACAATGTTGGAAGCGGAGCCAAAAGCAAGAGCTAAACAGAGAGAAAAAGAGAAGTCTCCTTTGTTGAAGTTTGGCAAATTTGTCCCACATCGGTGGGCTCTTGAAATTTGGGGGAATTTTTNCTCGCCTTAGCGAGTCGGAATAACTTCTTCTCCCCATCTTTGTTCCTTAGTTCCTCATACAGACAAGCAAAAGCTGTCATCTTAGCCTCCGTCACTGCCATCTTCGTCTCCTTCCTAGCTAACTTATACCTTTGATTGTTCTCTCTCTTCTCCTCCTTGTCAGTGCTCCCTACTAACCGCATGTAAGCCGCCTTCTTTGCTTCCACTTTACCTTGGACAACTGCATTCCACCACCAATCTCCTTTGTGGAAAGCAGAAATTTAAGGTGATGGAAAGATTGTTGACGATGTCACATATTGTATTGGTGCGGATTGGATGAAATGGTGGCTCGCATCTGGTGTTTTGTGTGATAAGAATATGTCACCAAGACTTAAAAGCTAAGTTTTATAAAGTGGTGATTACACCGACTATATTGTATGAGACGGAGTATTGGCTAGTCAATAACTCTTATGTCTAGAAGATAGAGTAGCAGAAATAAGAATGCTGAGATGGATGTGTGAGCATACCAAGAGCGATAAAATTAAGAATAAAGATACATGGATAAGGTGGGAGCGGCCTCTGCGGTGGACAAAATGTGGGAAGCAAAGCTCAAATGGTTCAGGCATGTGAAGGTACATATATGCCCCAGTAAGGAGGTGTGAGAGGTTGGCTATGGTGGGCCTAAGGAGAGGTAGAAGCATGCCAAAAAAAATATTGGGGAGAGATGATTAAGCAGGACATGGAGCAACTGCATCTTAGTGAGGATATGACCCTTGATAGGAGGGGTTGGAAGTTAGAAATTAGGGTAGCAGGTTAATAGGTAGTCAAGTGTATCTCTTTCCCATATTAGTAGTATTAGTATTATTTTCATTTTTTCTAGATTTCTATTATTAGATGTTTCTTTCGCTTCGGTCATCTTACCATCTTATCTTACTATTGTTACAACTTATTTTTACTGTTTATTTTTTTGTCCTTAAACCGAGGTTTATCGAAAATAATTTCTCTATCTTCATAAAGTAAAAGTAAGTTTTGCGTACACACTATTCTCCCCAGATTTCACTTGTAGAATTAAACTGAATTTATTATTGTTGAATTAAACTAATTTTTTTTTATCTTAAGCACATTTATGAATAATCTAGAAAATACTTTGAGCTTAAGGTGACGGTGGGATTGGGTGTGAGATGTGTTTGGGGGTTACGAGGAGAATATGGGGTAGTAACTAAACATGGAACATGGAAAATATCTTCCCGAAATTTTCGGTGTTTGGTCCATACCAAAGGGTAAATTTTTTATTTGCATCCTATATTTACATTACCTTATATAAAAGCAGAGCTAGAATTTTTATTAAATGAATGTTAAAATTCAAAGAAATAAATACATAAATAAGTTAAGGGGATTCAATATATAGAACATATATTTAAAAAAATTATTTTCCTTTCTAAATAGCATAATTTTTCGACAAATAAGTATCAATTGACATCTCTCGAGCTATGAGGCTCCGACACACTAAAATCGGACAAATTATATGTATTCATCTATTAATATGATGCAAACATCATATATAAGATAAGTTTTTACCTCCAAAATACCTAAATGAACGTTAATTGGGGGGGGGGGGGGAAACAAT